GGGGCCGATGAGTAAACTGCTATTAAAATTTTTAAAAAAAATTAATTTCCAGGGGCTGAGTAAAAATTTTTTTCTGGGAAGGGGGGCAGTAGGCCAAATAAGTTGGGGAACTTCAATCAGTTGCCTTTATATGTGTCCCAACTGTGGGCTGAACCCATGACCTAGGTATGTGCCCTGACCAGGAATCAAACCGGCAACCTTTTGGTGTATGGGATCACACTCCAACTAACTCAGCCACCTGGCCAGGGCTTTCTAATATTGATTTTAAGTTTCTGGGTTTTCATTCCGAGTCACAAAAGATAGATATTTAAAGAAAATCAGAAACAATTGTCCAGGGGTGCTTAATGACTTCAGGTTATTTTTTATTGGTTTTAATTGATTATTTCAGATATCCTAAAATGACTCACATTCTGAGCCACAAAAGATAGATATTTAAAGAAAATCAGAAACAATTGTTGAAACCAAATGGTTTTAGAAGAGGTGGACTTAAATGACCTACATTTTGTCCTTCCCCTGGGGGCAGAACACTAGGACAGGTGGTATAAAAAGACAATTAACTCTCTGCTTCCTAAAACCTTATGGTTTAGTGGAAGAGAAGCATCTAAATAAAGAAAATGATAAAACAAAATGAAGATCATGAATAGACAAAAGTCCCCTCAATTCAGGTGAAAAAGATGAAATGAATTATATTGGTTGCTCAATATCAAAGAAAAAAAGAGGCTCTCTTACATTTGCCTGGTTTATTAGCCAGAACATGGTGTACTCCTCCAGTATAATCTGGTAGGTGGTAATGTGTGCAAGGGAGCACCTGCTTGGGTATATGAAATTGACAACATCTTGAAAATGGCAGGTCAGTGCCTATCAGCACACCCAGAAAGCCAGGGCGTTTGGACACTGAGTGTCCTCTAGAGGGAAGGCTCCAGCATGGCTTATGGAAGCTGCTCTTAACATCCTCCTTGAAATCTTCAGACTGAGGCTCAGATGTGCAAGAAACATGAAAAAAACCTCGATTCAAACCCTGGCTCTACAACTGACTGTGTGGCTTTGGACAAGTTTTGTTCTTAACCTTCCAAAAGCTCAATTCCATCAACTCTAAAAATAAGGGCAATAAGGGTATGGAACCCATAGTGTATTTGGGGATTTCGTGCAATCATCCATGTGCAGAACTTTTCATGTTACCTGGTACTTAGGCATATAGATGGTCAGAATCAAAAACAGCAGGCTGACTCTCCTTTCCTCCACACCTGAACCCTCATGGATTAGACACTGAACAAGGGTGTGCGTTCTCCATATACCATTGCTTTACTCATTCCCTCCCCAATGCTTGGAGCCCAGAGCTCTTATCACAGCCCAAGGAGCTTCTGTGACTGGGCTATGCTTTCAGGCCAGGGCTGCAGATGGAAGGGCGCTCCTGCTGCGCTGTGCAGGGCCCCGCATTGGATTCACGTGTCCAGAGGAAGCCCTTGAGGACAGTGAAACCTTTCAGCCCTTCCAACATATTGTCAGTGCACAGCCCCAAATTATTTATTTATTTATTTATTTATTTTTACTGATTTCAGAGAAGGGAGAGGGAGAGAGAAATAGAAACATTAATGATGACAGAGAATCATTGATCAGTTGCCTCCTGCATGCCCCCAACTGGGGATCAAGCCCGCAACCCCAGCATGTACCCTAATTAGGAATCGAACCTCCTGGTTCATAGGTCGATGCTCAACCACTGAGCCATGCTGGCTGGGCACAGTCCCACATCTTAACTGACATTGAAGAGCCAAGCAAAGGCAAGAAGACTAAAATTCAAAAGGACAGCAAAAGAGGAATTATAACATTATGTACACCTGGGTGAACTAGGGAAGTTGCATGAAAGTAATGGGCCTTTGAATTATCATCGGAACACCCTTGCTGCCCTATACTGTTCCGCCATGGAGACTGAACAGGAAAGGAAAGGGCAGCCCTTCTCTCTGGATCTGTACCCTTTGGCCTTCCTCCCTCCCAGCAGGCTCACACCACAGCCCCCTTCCCACTGAATTACCTTCCACGGGAAGTGTTAATTGCTCTCAGCCCCTGGTCTGGCTCTCTGCTCTGCTGCACTGCTGATCAGTCTCCCTTGACTGGAAACTCAATACCCCCTGCAGAGAGTCTGCACTCTTGCTTTGAAGTTATTTACATCCGGTCAGAAGAACCTTTTAGTTCTAGTTCTAAATTGAGCGCCTTGGTGGTTTCCATCCCCTGATAAGCAGGGCAGCTGGACTCTACAGCAGTCACACTGGGCCTGGGTTCTTAGTCACCTTAGGGAGTTGATGCATAAAACCGACAGCACCGTAAGTCTCTTCATGGCGGATAAGAAACGGAAGTACCCAGGGCAGTCAGTAAACTTATACAATGAGCAGAGAGTTGTGTTTTAAGGCAAGTAAGACGTGCATACCCTATTCTGGTTTGCAGAGGGCACTTGGGGGTTCAGCTACATTTCTATAGGGAAAGCACTGTAATTTGTCTTGGAAACATTCTAGAGATAAGGAGGAAGCATTCAGCAGCCCAGTCCTAGTACAGCAGCCTACAGAAAAGCTGGGCGGGAGGTGGGGGTGTCCTTCCTTCAGCTATGGGGTACCTCTCATTCCCCCATGCTGCTTGCTGTGACAGAGTATAGAGCAAAAGGGAAAAGGGTTTCCATTCCACTTTTCCCACTTACTATTCACTTTGGGTACGTAAAACCCACCTCAAAAGCGTGGGGGAGAAGGAAACAGAGGCATATGTGTAAGGTGCCTAGCAGAGGGCTGAACCACAGAGAGACTCGGTACTGTTACTTCCCACCTCTCCCTCCCTGCCTTCCCGCACATCACAGCCTCTTATTGCACATCTTTCCTCCGCCATGCTAGACACAAAATATTTGCATTATCCCAAGGGCAGAGTGGGCCCTCTGCGTCAGCCCTGTCCACAGGCGCAGTAACGCACAGGCCAGCATCAGCATTTCTATCAGGATGACACTTGTAATGGATGATTGCTGCACTTCTTAATCCATTTATGTAATCCTTCCTGCTTTGCTTGCAGTTATTTACAGGGCTTTAGCAGCAATAAAATGGTTCCTTTCCCAAGACAGAGTTCATTCAATTCAAATCTGGATTGATTGTAGCTAAACTTCTGATGTCTTTACAAAGGAAGAAAAGAAAACCAGGAATAAGTTATGCCTAGTAATTATTTGGCATGTATTCAGCCCCCACATGTCCTGGGCTCAGCACATTAAAGTTGGGGAAATACCTCTGTCCTTGAGAATCAAGCACAGTTGCACAGATGAAAGGCACTCAGGGCAGGGCACCGATTCAATTCCCATTGAATTCTTTATTCCCGGGGTCAGGTGGCCATCTGGCCAGTCCGTCAGCTGATTTCATGGGGTTAAGTGCCTTCACCCACTAGTGCCTTCTTTTGGTTTCCTTCAGATGCAGTCTACTGACAGCATCCTTAGCCTTGAACCTCTGCCCCCAAAGAACTCTCTTCTGCTCCTCAAGCAGTTTTGGTTTGCGACTAAGGCTCCTTGGGGCCAGAGTCCAGGGTCAGCCTGATGATACCCAACTGGCATTGGAAGGATCCCTCCTGTGGTGGCCCCTGTGGTGACAAGGGATGTGCACTAGGCAATGGTGTGGAACTCAGGCAGACAAGGGGCTTTCTCCTGAGGACATGGTCATGGATGTGCTCAACAGTCAAGGATTTGCATGTCAGGTGAATGGAGGACTGGATGGATTTTGAGATCACTAGTTAAAATGTAATTTATATAATATAAGACAAATGTAATTCCTATACATCTTTGTGACTAAAATGTGAACATGTAGGATGATACTCTTCATTCATAGAAGACCCCGTAACCATACCCCCTGACAGTCATGTGTATAGAGTAACAGCCAAAAGAAAGAAATAGAGAAGAAAGGCCTGATATTTTTCTTTTCATTTTTGATCACTTGACTTTAAAAAGAAAATATGCAGGAAAAGTCAAAATTAATCAAAATGCACAATAATCAACAGTATTGGGTATCATGCACACTAGAATCAATCTGTCAAATATTGCTGTGAAATAGGTAGTTAGGCTATTTTTTTTCTTTTTGCATTTTATAGATGAGGCAGCAGAGGTTCAGAGCAGTTAAGGAGGCAGAGCCATGATGTGAAGGCAGCTGAGCTTTCCTGCACACCCCAAGACTTAACCACTAAGCTATACTGCCATCTAGGACCCGATGCTCAAATATGCATCAGATTCACAATCCCCAAATGCCATTTTCTTTGACCTTTGAGTTGAAATAAGCTAAAACCTTTTTCCTTTCTCACATTGACTTATAAGGTTTCACTGCTGGTTAAACATAGTAGAGTGATTGTCCTTGATATAATTCAAATTATATTTAAGTAATAGCTTAGAGTCAGGATTTATTTAGAATAAAGAGTAATTTTTTAAGATAAAGGCAATTAGCCCTAGCTGATTTGGCTCAATGGATAGAGCCTCAGCCTGCGGACTGAAGGGTCCCGGGTTCAATTCTGGCCAAGGGTACATGCCTGGGTTGCGGGCTCGATCCCCAGTAGGGGGCATGCAGGAGGCAGCCAATCAATGATTCTCTCTCATCATTGATGTTTCTATCTCTCTCTCCCTTTCCCTTCCTCTCTAAAATCAATAAAGTGTATTTTTTTTAAAAAAAATATAAAGGCAATTATTTCAAATTGCTGGCCATTTACTTATTTTAACCTCAGAACAATTTTTTTTTGCATTAGAAAACATACAAGGAAATTTGAACCAATATATAGATTTAGCCAAGTTTTTCAGGGTTTTTGGTTTTTCTTTGTTGTTGATGATAATTTATTTTTTTGAAGGGCAGGTAGGATCAAAAGAAAAGTGAGACTTTTCACCTGTGATATTTGGAGTAGTAATTGAGATCCGAAAGACATATTCAACCCCTTTCCCCCGAAACACACGCTGCGTGTATTTGCTTACAGCACGCACTTGCTCACACGGTGCGTGTTTCTTACAGTGGACCTGGACAGGCTCAATGATGATGCCAAGCGTTACAGTTGCACTCCCAGGAACTACTCCGTAAACTTGCGAGAGGAGCTGAAGCTGACCAACGTGGTCTTCTTCCCGCGGTGCCTCCTGGTGCAGCGCTGCGGGGGAAACTGTGGCTGCGGCACTGTCAACCGCAAGTCCTGCAAGTGCACTTCGGGGAAAACCGTGAAAAAGTATCACGAGGTATGTCACGTTCGAATGTCTTTGTTGAAGTGCCGCATTTAGCAGTTTCGCCTGCAAGAGGCACGTCATTCGCGGGGAGCTAGAAGACAGGACCATTGGGTGCAGTTGGTCAGTTCTTTCCCTGCAAAAGGGCACCCGGCCAGGGGGATGACTGGGACCTAAAGTTATACTCGGGCTAAATTTGTCAAGGTAAGTGCCCGGGGGAGGATCTAAGTTCACCCTTAAAAAAGGGACTTCTTTTCTAATCCTCATCATATACCACCTGGGTTGACAGAATAAGTGTATAAGCAAATGGATGGTGAAGTAATTTCAGAACTTTTTTGGCTTCCTTTGTAGAAATATGATGTTATTTATTTAAAGGATCTGACTGCAAAATGTAGGTTCTTGTAAGAAAATGCTAAGAGCCAAACTTTAATTCAAACAAGTGATTAAAAATTAAGCAATTTTTAAAGATAGCAAATGATTTGTCAGAAAATATACATCGTCGGAGACATTTTTTATTCTGTAAATATAAAAGTATTTCTCTTTTAGAAATACAATTTTTTTTCCTAAATACTATTGAGTGCTACCTGGAGAATCAGCTCTGAAATTATGCTAAAATAAATAAAATAAATAAGAAAAACAAAAATGTAAGGAGAGAGCAGTAACCTTTAATAATAATCACATCAACAAACTCTCTTAAGTATTTAGAATGTGCTAGATATTATTATAAGGAATCATTAACTCACTTAGTATTTTCTCAATACTACTGTCAAAGGGTGGGCAGAGGTAAACTGAGGCCTAAGAGGATCAGTAAGTCGACCAGTGTGACATGGTTGGTGAATCACAGAGCCAGGACCTGCACTCTGATCACTGCTCCCAGAGTCTATGTTTTTGTTCCTAGTAACACCGTGCTGTCTCTTTTAAAAGACATAGCATTTTATTGTGCATTAAAGAGTACACTTAGGGGAATCAGAGCTGCTCCTGACACTGACAGTAGCCTTATTACTTCCTGACTGTGGGAGCACAGGTGAGTCACCACAGTTTAGAGACTCAGTTTTCACACATGTGAAATGGGACTAAGGAAGGATATCAGATAAGCTCTTACAGAGCAGTTCTGGGGATCAAATAATGTATTGCAAATGAAATGAGTTTTTCAAGATGTGAAACATAAAACAGAAACATGTTTCAAAATATAAACTAAAATGTGGAGCAAACATTATTGTTAGGAATCATTGTTTGAGTTGCTTTTTATCAGTATCCGCCAAAACAAAAACAAAAATAGACAGTGCTCCCTAAATGAAATCTCCCGCTTTGTAAAAGTGTTTTTTGTTATCCTGTTAACAATAAAACAATAATATTAAGTTAGGCGGTATCTCTGGAGCCAAATGAAAATGGATGTGTCATAAGCAGCATTTTCCACTTGGGAAATGCAGGAAGCTGCGGGCCACTGGCCATGCTTACCTTACACAGAGAAAACACACTCTTCAGATCTACATGGAACATACCCTCTTAGTCACAAGAATTTCTTACTCCACCCACACAGTTTTCAAAGGAAAAAAAAAAAAAGTCCTCATAGCCAGAGAATGCTGTCACCGGTGCGCATTGTGTTTTATTTTTGTGTGACCTGATGAACTCTAGATTGGACAGTGTTCTGGAGTTCAAGAGCCTGAAACTCACAATGTTTAGCTGGAACCTAGAGATGAATGCAGAATGCAATGATCAGGTCAGAGTTGAAATAATCCTGGAAGTGACAGGCTCTCCACCTAGTCATAACCCTGAGGAAAAACATGCGAGTCCAGTCTTTGATGTTTGGGGGAGTGCTTTATTTTCATCTCGACTCTCTGCTCAGTTACAAGGTACAGCTGGATTTTTAAAATCCTTCATTGCATAAACGGCAGAGTTAAATACACACTTAAAAGGACTCTCGCCTCCCAGATGGGGTCCTGTCCTTAGTTCCTTTCTTGTCTCTGTACACAATCCACTGCTACCTATAAACTCCTGTAAACAATTAATATCTGAAGGGGAGGCCCTTGATCTCTTTGTTCAGTCACACAAACAGGTCGACAATGTTGCCATCTTTTGAAACTGCTGTCTAAAGCATCTCTTTGAAGCCTGTGCCACGATATGTTCACTTCTAGGAGCCTGCAGAGCTCTACACAAAATCTGTCGGCCACGTGCTGGACAAAGGGACCAGGCAGCAGCATCACGCAGTCAGTAACTGCACACCTGGAACAAACGGGCCTGGCCTATCCCCCCTAACTCCTAAAATGCCCCTGAAATATGTCACAGTGATCACTCTCGAAGGGCAGCAGGCTCGTTCCACTTACAGAGACGGGGGTTGCTTGAGCTGTTAGTTCTGTGCCTGTTTTCTTAACTCAGAGACAGGAAAGCCCGATTTCCTCAGCTCCTGGTTATAACTGATGAGATGTGAAATGAGTTTCCGTGAGAGATGAGCACCCCTACGGGTGACTGGAACTCATCACATAAGCAGGCCTGTGTGACTCTCCACAAACACTTCACTGCTCAGCATTCAAGGAATAGAATGGAGACATTTTAAAGCTCTCAGTGGAGCTAATATCATTGCTTTGTTGGAAGGCTGTGCTATTTCTGCCGTAGGGGGGGGGTAGCCTTCTTCACAGTGCAATAGGGTATTAGCATCTTTTTATTTTCTGTTCTCAAAGGTTGTTAGGTATCCTGTTAAAGTATTTTTTTTTCCTGACAACCATTCTATGCCTTTTGGAATAAATAGGATATAAAGGATACCTTAGGTAGTGATTTTTAAATGGGGAAGGTTCCAGAAACATAGTGTGTAGACAGAGGGTGTTATATATATAAATTCTCATCTTCCCTCGATAATGTGTAATGAAGGAGTAAGATGTCCCCTAGAAATTCGGTGAGCTTTTTCATTAACATTTACTGTTTTTCATCATGTGGTCTCCTATGTCCATTCAGTCAACAGCTAAAAAGGTAGGAAGCATCAGAGAGAGAAAGATACAAATTAATTTTCTTTGTCCTTTCTCTCATGATTTTGTCACAAAGCTGATGCAACCCTATACTAGTAGAATTTCTAGTTTCATATTTAGAAATTCTACTGTTTCATATCTACACTGTCCAAAATAGTACTCACTGGCAACATGTGGTTACAAATCTATGTCACACACACAAGAAACTGAAATCTTCATTTTATTTACCTTAATGTTAATGTAAATAACTGCGCATGGCTAATAGCAATCATATTGAAGACACAAGCTTGTTTCTGACACATTTACAACATCTAGAATCATTCTTGTCTCTGCACAGAATTAAAAATAACTTTCCAGGCCGAAACCGGTTTGGCTCAGTGGATAGAGCGTCAGCTTGCGGACTGAAGGGTCCCAGGTTCGATTCCGGTCAAGGGCATGTACCTGGGTTGCAGGCACATCCCCAGTAGGAGATGTGCAAGAGGCAGCTGATCGATGTTTCTCTATCATCGATGTTTCTAACTCTCTATCTCTCTCCCTTCCTCTCTGTAAAAAATCAATAAAATATATTTTAAAAAAAAAATTTTCCAGGATTCTTTTAATTTTAATGTAGAATTTTATATTAAAAACTAGAGGCCCGGTGCACAAAAATTTGTGCACTTGGGGGGAGGAGGGGGGTCCCTCAGCCCGGCCTGTGCCCTCTCGCAGTCTGGGATCCCTCAGGAGATAATGACCTGCTGGCTTAGGCCTGCTCCCGGGTGGCAGAGGGCAGGCCCAATCCCTAGGTGCAGCCCCTGGTCAGGCTCAGAGCAGGGCTGATTGGGGAGATTGCAGCGCCACCCCTGGTCATGCACAGAGCAGGGCCGATCAGGGGATTGGGGAGCTCCCCCCTATCAGGCACAGAGCAGGGCTGATCAGGGGGTTGGGGCGCCTTCCCCTGTCACGAACAGAGCAGGGCAGATAGGGAGGTTGTGGCCCCGCCCCCTGTCACACACAGAGCCGCAGGGCGATCAGGGGGTTTGGGCGCTGCCCCCTGTCACACTGATCCCGGTGCCGGGAGCCTCGCTGCTCAGCTGATCCCGGTGTTGGGAGGCATATTACCCTTTTACTATATAGAATAGAGGCCTGGTGCACGGGTGGGGGCCGGCTGGTTTGCCCTGAAGGGTGTCCTGGATCAGGGTGGGGGTCCCCACTGGGGTGCCTGGCCAATCTGGCTGAGGGGCTGAGGGCCGTTTTCAGGCTGGCGGGTGACTGAAGCTCCCAACTGCTCCTTTTTTTCTTTTCTTTTTTTTCTATTCTGGGCCAGCTTTAGCTCTGAGGCCTCACTGCTGAAAGCAGGTTTCTGGCCTTTACCTTCTGTATTTGATACAATGTTGCGGTCCGGCTGGCTGAAGCCTGGCTGACTGAAAGCCGGTTTCTAGGGTTTTGTTTAGCTTCTATATTTGCAACATAGTTGCTTAGAGTTGCAGCTGAGAGGCCGGCAAGTCAGGCGGGGAACGTTGGAGTCTGCCATCACTGGAGCAAGCAAGCCTCCCTGTTCGCTTCAGTGCATGGCTGCCGGCCACCATCTTGGCTGACAGTTAATTTGCATAAGGATATGCTGATTAGCCAATGGGAAGGGTAGCGGTCGTACGCTAATTACCATGTTTCTCTTTTATTAGTGTAGATTGCTTCCTAATACAGTTTAAGAGTTAGAGATATAAGCAAATGCCTATATATGAATCAGAGGATTAATTAGAGGTAATAAAATATTGCACTAAAAGAATAGTAGTTTCAGTTTTTACATGCTTTAAGTATTTGCTATTGAAAAACGTTTAGCTAAAATTATAAATTAAGACCAAGAAGACAGAAAAACATTTTTTTTCAGAGTTTCTACTCTATTTTTTTTTTCCTGGAACTATCATTTCTAGAGCTTATATAGACTTCCCTTTATTCTTTCTTTCTTTTTTTTCCTTTCTCCCTCTTGATTGAAGCCATAAGACAGCTCTTTTCAGGCTGTGTCTGTTTTCCTCTGAGAGCCAGGGCAGTTTTTGTGGATTATGGTTCCAGATCTACCGCATGGGAGGCAACCTATGACCAGCCAAGTAAAACCCCCCAGGGCCCCAGGCTTCCTCACTTATAACCTACAATGTTGAGTCCCAGACAGACCTGAAGTTACATGCTATCCGTTCACTGTTACCTTCTTTCCTTGCCCTCAAATCTCATCTTACTGAAATTGTGTATGGAATATAAACAAATTGGTGGTTGAAGTGCTAGGTAAATGCAAAAGAATAAAGATGTAATCTGGAACAGTTAATGTTTATAGAGAAGTTCATTCGTCAGTAATAACACCTGTGCTACTTAGCTCCTGGGGCTACGGAGGGAATGAAAGCATCTCAAGACGATAAAGCACAAAACAGATGTGAGTGGAATTTTCTGAGCCTGTTCTGGCTTCCTCGGTTCTGACAGCCCTGATACCTCACCTAGTGAGTGAAGGGACGCCCCGGAAGTGCTACAGGAGGCGCTCACTCTTTCCCTGCAGATCTAGCTTCACATCACGCCTTCCTGCCAAAGATTAGCCAACCTGTCTTAGGGCAGGATGCTCCTCAGGTAGACAAGACCCCTCTGTGTCAAGAATAATTCTCAGCGCTATTGCCATACTCTGAAATCTGGTGCCCAGCTAGGCTTTCATCATGTTTTCTGCAATGGCTCAGCTGAACATGTAGCCACTGATTCTCTAAAATCAAAATCATTTGACTAGTATTTAAAAATATTTTTTTATTGATTTTAGAGAGGAAAGGAGCAGGAGAGAGAGATAGAAACATCAACGATGAGAGAGAATCATTGATCAGCTGCCTCCTGATGCCCTCTACTGGGGATCCAGCTCACAACCCAAGCATGTATCCAGATCAGAATCGAACCTTGACCTCCTGGTTCATAGGTTGATGCTTAACCACTGAGCTCATTTGACGACTTAGTTTTGTAAAGGAAGGGACTGCACTTAAGTATACCCCATAGCAACCCCAGTGTGTTCACAGAAAACTTCTATTAGAAGTAAATGTCTACTGATATCAAGATTGCATTTTCAAAATTAATGAGAGTTTTATAGGCTCCCAGCCTTTGGTTACCTTCAAACTTAATTTGTCAACAAAACGTTGCTGAACTTTTCATCATTCGTGTCTTTTTTATTGAATGCTCTGTCTTGTGACTTGGAATCACTTCTCCTATTGCAAGGCTGCCTCTGCTGCAACTATTGCTGCAAGCTGGGCACTTACCCAGGTAGAAAAGAATGCTATCCCTTCTCAAAGTATTTTTGCTGTGGTCACTTCAATTTCAGAAAAATCAACTACCAGCCGTTAAAATCTTGACTCTATGCACATTTTTTTCATATAGTCTTTAAGCATGAAAAAAGTCAAAATGGAAGCAAAAATAAGAAGTGTTTTCTTTAAATCTTAAGATAAGAAACTATATGTGTACTGAACAGTGCCTGCTTCAGAAGTTGGGGGAGAATCTTAAATAAACTCTTAATGATTCAGGTTTAGACATTGCATTTGTCCTGAAATATGTACTTGTGTTCCTATGTCAGCCATTAATTTGAGAACTGTTACAAGGCCTTAACAACCTTTTTGAAATATATATTCCCAATAAACAAGAAAGCAACTCAGCCGATAGCTTTTCTGCCTGGTATTGTTTTATTAGTGTAATAGCTTTATGGCAAGGATTCACTCGGTGGTTTATTGGCACTGAAGTTAAATATCTTTTGTGATATGGTAATTTGCAAACTGAGCATTTTTGGCTTTGTGTAGTGTTATGAAAGCTACCAGTGTGCGCCATCATTCTCCATTCAGTAAAAGTCAACTTTCCCTGGCATCACATGTGTTTGCAGGTGGTGAAGAGGAGTTGAGATTTCCACTTTCACCCACATTTCTTAATGGCTGACTGCCCTTCATTGAATTTTTACTTCAGTGTGTGTGCTTGCAGCTGTGAATCACAGCTCGGAAAATAGGAAATCATTTTGTGATGGTTCCTATTAGCAAGTGTCCAGCAGTGGCTGTAATTAATTCAATGGTTCCTTCCCTTTGACGGTGACCAGATAACCCATAACTAGCCAGTTTGCTATCTCAGATAAAGGCTTTTCATTTTTCTTTTAACTTTCCACCATCTCTCAGATCAGCTTTGCTCTCTTCCTCCTTGCAGTGCTGTGTACCTGAACTTAAGACTATTACATGGTCTGAAAGCTTTGAACATCGGTCCTGTGATCAGTCAGCAAAGCAGTCCAATTTCCACTTTGTTCAAACAGTGCTTTCCTGTCTTGTCTGGGAAAGTGTCTGCCAATTCATTTTTCTCTTCTTATCAGCAAAACACATATATGCTGTGCTCACATTGCTTAATATGAAACACAGGGAAAACCCCTAACTGTCAGGAGGCAAGTTAGGAACACTGCCCAGTCTCTGCTCTCATCTCAAATGAGAAAGCAATGGAATGAGAAAGCAAATCAACAGCGCTGATTTTATAGGTGCCACTCATTGCAACATAAAAAGCTTTCATAATGGCCTTCTTTACACAGAGAATATTTAACGTATGCTCTTCTTCTTATAAATCATTTTCCTCCCCTGTATCTGCCAGCCCCCAAATCCCATTTACATGCAGCCAGTCTTGGACAACAGCTAATTTGTATTGAGAAATTCTTGGCAAAGCTGTAGGACTCCCGCCCCTTACCCCTTCTTAGGCACTCTGACAAAATCTGTCTTGGGCAGGGCTGCTGAACACCCCAGAAGGTAATTAATACATTCTTCAACTATTTCTTCTTTTGCTTATTTTTTCACAGAGAAGCGGCATCTTTTGTGTTTTGTAGTTAACCAACAGGAGAGAACATGGGAGCAGTGGGAAAATGTCAATCTAACTCTGTTCTTGGTATTTTACATTTCCTTTCAAAAATGTGAAAGGATTAAAAGTGGTCTAAAGCATGGGCCACTCTTTTGGCCTCTTCTTTATTGCCTGGCTTGTTTTGTCCCCTGTGTTTGTTGGAGGTAGACTAGAAGAGATGTGGGAAGGAGGTAAAAAGGATGAATCCTGAATTTTCACTCCCTCCTGCATTGTGGGCATCTCCCACCACCTACACCCAGGAGGTTTCTTTAGCAGCTACTATATTTCCAGCATGCTGCCGACTTATACAAACAAAGTTTTAATTTCATGGGTAAGGTCATGAGTCAAACTCTGGTTCTACTAATGACTAGCTCTGTGATTTTGGGCAAGTAACTTAATCTCCCTCTTTTCTCATCTATGAACAAAATGAGTAAAGTACTTAATAGTACCTAATGCAATAAAGTCCAAATCATTTATATTTACATGGCACAGGTGTGTCTGGTCTACCTAAGGAGGCACAAAAGGAAATCGTAGGCACATTGGAGAGGCTCTGGGTCAGAGTGTTCTAGGAGCCCAGAGGAAAAAGCCCAGCTCCCAGGTCCGAGTCCCCAGAGGACCCTGAGCTTTCTTTAAAGTTTCCATTCTGTAATCTATACAATGGAAATAAGGATACCTTCTCTAGTTTGTGATGCGGTTTGTCTGAGGGCAAAAGAAATAGTGCATCTGTGCAAATTCTTTGAAAAATGTAAAATGCCACATAATTGTATGGTACTATGACAGACTTCTGAGTTTAAAGGGAAGATAGAACAAAATCAAGAGTGAAGGCTAACCACTAAGAGCATAAACAAGAAAAGCAATGAAACTAACCATATAGTATATATAAGAACAAGCATATAATTTTCCAAGTATGTGTGATGGGATGACTGATATTTTACTTCAATGAAGGCACAGCAGGAAAGAAGGGCTAGCTTCTATTTCAACTTACTAATTAAAAAAATATTTTTAAACGTATTCATTAAAAAATTGAGGATATACTTTATTAATTTAAGACATGCTATATTGATACACAAATATTAATGTACAAAAATTTTAGTGATTTGAATTATAAAAGGTATTACATATTAACATATATGTAAGAACATAAACACATTTTCATTTATTTATAGCTGGCCCTAATGATCTTCATTATGGCAAACTGTTTGACATCAATAAAAAATGTAGCAATATCGGCATTTTATGTTCATGACTTTATTCATTGTGCTGTCTACAGAAATAATAATATGCTCAGTATTGTTATTTGTCCATAACATATGCTTTGGCATAAGAATTGTCAGGACAATATTTGGGACAGCACCCGAGAAAAGCAGGCCCTTAGAAAGCTGTCAGTAACTACATTCTAGGACACCAGAGGTCATCTTGGTACTGCAGGTAGGTAATTCAGGAGGCACTGTGATCAGTTGAGCCCTTCACTTCCAGGAGTAAATAATTACATGTGTGAGTTCTCAAAGGGTTAAGAACCAGCTGTCACAAAGAGAGTAAGTGACATCTATTGAGTTGTACTCTAAGGGCTTTCTAACAGGAAATATGCTTATTGTCCTAGGTATTAAAGTTTGATCCTGGCCATCTCAGGAGGAGGGGTAGATCGAACTCCATGGCTCTCGTTGACATCCAGTTGGATCACCATGAGCGGTGTGATTGTATCTGCAGCTCCAGACCACCTCGATAAGAGAATATGCATGTTCACTAAGCATGGAAGATCCTCTAGTTCAGTGGTTGGCAAACTGCGGCTCACGAGCCACATGCGGCTCTTTGGCCCCTTGAGTGTGGCTCTTCCACAAAATACCACATGTGGGCGCGCGCATACAGTGCGATTGAAACTTCGAGGCCCATGCGCAGACGTCGGTATTTTGTGGAAGAGCCACACTCAAGGGGCCAAAGAGCCCCTTTTGCCGACCACTGCTTTAGTTTAAGGAGGGTGTCATAAGTGACCCTTTTCCCACCAGCAGCTGAACTTACTGCTAGCCTGCAAAGCAATGAATACAAGTGGTTGTTGAGTTTCAGCTTAGCTTCATTAGTGTCATGGCAAGCAGAAAGGTATATCATCAACCTCTATATCCAGAATATAGAATTGTATTTAATAATAGTGTCTGAGGATATATCCATGTCTACATGTAAATGGTCAAATGGTTTATTCAGTATATATAACCAGGTACACCAGAGCTTACATAAGGTTGAGTCATTTAGTTCCTTAAAGTCTTTTGACAAAATAAGGGACATAGTAAATACATGAAACATGTCTTTGAAATATTCGGAAGGTTAATTTATTTTTAAATTTTGAATCACAAAAAAATTTTAATCTTGCTCTTTTAAAGAAAGCACCTTATATATTAAAAACCAAAAGATGAGTTTTTCTTATATACATCTTAACTATAAATAAAGGAAAATATGGTTCCTGGGAAAAGGCACAAACCAAACCATGTTTTTTCATGAAATACACTACATACTTACCTATGTAGGCAATAATTACCTGTCTCCAAAAGCATGCCATGATAAGACAGGCGCTTTGGAAATTAAGTCTCCTTTTGGTGCATCTTGCTGAGGCAGGCAAATTTATGTAACACCAGTCTCAAAAAATTTTCTCAGAAGGTTTATTATTATAATCCTACAAGATGCAATTTATAAGCTGTAGTACAAATTTTAATTGTTTCTTTCCAGAAACCCATCTGCAGAAGTAACTTCTCTGGAGAATGGCCTGGGGACTCTATGAGCCTTTCAGAATAATGCTCATTGAAAGATTTGGGTAGTTGAAAGTCAAAAAATTAAGTATTGAAGTATTAATCTTACTGGAAATTTGATAGAATACTTGATAGGACCCATATTTAATAATGAATTCAAACTCTCCAAACTGTGCTAACTGATTTTATGTATATTGCTTCTGTGTTCCTGTCTCTTCCATATACAGACATGGATTACAATGGCATTTTATATTTGGCAAGCCATCATGGATTACTTATAGCCTAAAAGCTTTTGTGTATTAAAACAGCCCAAACTTATTTATATAAATCCCTAACCATGTACACACTCCCCAACTCTGAAGTCCTGTTTCTGAACCAAGTGAAATCAGATCTGGGGTCTCTAGTTCTTTGCCAGATCTATGGGGCTTATTCTAAGAAGCCACTCTGCAAATTGTGGGAGCAAGAGCTTGGCCCGGTTCCACCACTAGAAAACTGTTTCTGCATCAGTGGTTATCATTGCTATGCAGAGTAATTTTTCCTCTCTGGCTCCTTACTGTCTATTTGAAGGGAGACTGACTCCAGGAGTAGGAAGTGATTCATCATTCTCCAAAGCAAGACTCTTAAGAAAGCAACCCTGAAATCAAGATAGCTCAGGGGCGTCTCAGAGAGAACTACATTTTTCTTGCTGCCTTGAAAGAAAAAAGGAGAGCCGATTTCTTTCCTGAGTCCAGGTCCCTACTGACTAGACCCAATTTGAGTGAGGGGTATATGACAGGTGCTTGTTAAGTCCCCGTGTCAGATGAGTGACCACAATCTATTTGGAATTTTACTAGTAAGCACGGTACCCTCAGGACCAAATCCTCAGCTACCCCTAGCTCATTTCTTCTCAGCTCTTTGAAAAGAAAGGCCAATGCTTTTTGAAAACATGCCTTCAAAATGTGTCCAGGGGAGTGAGTGGTAAGATTAAACGGAGATTGTTCTGTTGTCCAAAGTCCCAGCGTGCAATCAGCAATAGTCAGACAGACATCACTCTTCCCCTTTGTGACCATTTGCAAGTTTCCTATGAAAACATCGGATTCCTGTACCAAAACCAAAATGTGTGACATCACGTTAGCGTGTTCAGCTTACATCATGTCTGTAAGTAGGAAAAATGAGAGTGTTTTACCCAATTTTCAATAAACGTTCCAGGCTGGGAACCCGTGAAAGCCCTTGTCTGCACTTCTTATCTATTAGCTGAAATGTGAGCAGGCATATCCCCTCACTTTTCTTTTTTCTTTCCTCGGTGTTTTATTAAAACGTCTCCCTTGGTTATCTGTTACCTATTGTATTTCCAATAAATCTGTTTCATCGCCATCAAAGGAATAAAAAACTCACCGTACAAAGTGCATTGCAAAACAAACCCTAATAAATGCACCTGAAATAAAGCCTTTCATTCAATATGTTCTTAGAGGGCAAAACATTTTCAAAAGTAGAATTTTTGTTTTTGTCATATTGGTAACATGCAGCTTTTTCCCCTCATAGCAAATGTAATATCCCTCTTATCTTCCTGAAAAATAAATGTTGCTTTTGAACAAAAGTGATTCATTATTTAATACTCACTGCAGCTTTCAAAGCTGTACAATGTTACAAACTTGCTTTTACAAATGCATGCACCTGTTTGGAGTGACCATGTTGGGCACCTGATTTCTGAAGGATTGCTTTTACAATGTTGAAGGAGCATAAGCCTTGTTCCCTGACAGCAGGATTCTACTCTGTCCTTGTCCTGAAGCCAGGCCATGAGGTGGGACTCGGGCTTTGTTGTTCTCTTACTGCTGTTATTGCTTCTTTGTATGAATGTGTGTTTCCCCTGCGGCCTTTTAATGAAATATGTCCTCCTCTGACATTGCTCATTTAGGAGAGTTCACAGCCCATCTCTTCCTCCAGAACCTGAAATCAATCACATCACAGACCCATTTCCCCATTGCCCGCCCTCACACCTTTCCCCATCTAGACGAACACCCTAGCGGGTGGATCAGTGCTGTCAGTTCAGGGAGACCAGTTTAGAGGCTACGCTTCTATAGACTTCGGTTTATAATTTGGGTTGGGGGCCATATAAGGAGAGCTCTTCTCATTACAAAACTTCTGCTTTTGCTTGTAGCTTAGTCTTTATCATCTGGCTATCAGAGATAGCCAGCAGCTGCACAATGTGGGGTGAAACTACCACTTTATATAGTTTAGGGTTTTAGGTTTGGGGAAAAGAAGTAGAAACATACGTATCATGTGGCAAGAACTAAGTTTATCATAGAAATACCCATGAATATGTGAGGGAGGGGCAGGGAAAGGATCAAATAATGCTGTGCATAGTAGTTAACTCAGATAACTTTTTTATGTAAAAAATATCATACTAGCCATATATAAACATTTTAATGCAAATACAAATTTTATTTCATTTCCTAAAATGTGCATGTGTCCAGTTTTACTCTAAGAATAACTCAACAGATGTCTAAATTGTTCATATACTCCTAGGGTCCTCTGGCCAAACACTAAATTAAAATGCATAGCCCAGTATTCGTGCCTCAAATCCTAGGAAATACGATTTTGTTTATTGACAGCTCTGGTCAAATATGCTGGGAGAGAGGATATTTATAATTCACTGCTTTTATTGACATTCACTTAAATTCTGTTGTTTTTAAAGATCAAGTTAAAGACTACACAGGCCTTCAAAACTCAACATAACATCCTGGGAAATCTCCCAAATGTACTTAGACAGCAACAATGGATAAGCAACTAACCACTTAATTTAAGACTTTATATTTGCTACTTATGTTATAGTCCTAAATTTGCCAGTTAATTTGTATCTTTTAAAAATAAATTTTATTTCTATAGAGATCTCTCAAAATTCATTAGCAGATCACATTAAAAGGGAGTGGAGCTGAGTCCATAATAAAGGTTAATGTACTCAGTGAGCAAGTTATGGGCCAAGAAATATTCATTTTCTAATAAACCATTTGACTTTCTAATTATTTTAAACTGTTGGATATTGTTGGCCAGTCTTAGGGCCAAGAACCAACTGTTAAAATAATTCCTGGATTCAATTTTCAATAATGCTTATGATGCAAATTTTCTTTCAAGAACTAAAGTCTGGGTCATATTATCTAACATATATCTTTGATTGAGGACATATTACAAATTCATTCTCTTCTAGTATCTTCTAGCCTATCTTCTTCCCCCTGTTACTTCCACATTTCTCCTCTTCCTCACTAATCCCTAGCTACCATTGATCGGATCCATGTCTACTTTGAAAAGGCACCGGAGGTCATTTAAGATCAGGAGATCAAATATACTTTCTCAAGCGAGCAAGTAATAGGGCTGAAATTGCCAACTATTAAGAAATCACTGCTTTTTGAGAGTTGAATACATCAAGTGAATGTTTCCCAATATTTTCCATTTTAGTACAAACTTTGGAATATGGTGATTGGTATTTATTGACTTCTATTAAAGGAAATTTAGCCACATTCAATATGGGGAAAAGTGATTAATTTACATAGTTGGTTAGTCATTCAACAACAAAATGTATTAAAGAACACTACAAGGCATGCTTTGGGGTTCAAAACCCAAGGTCCATGACAGAGGATAAAACTGGAGAAAGATGTTGTAGGTGGAATAAACAAAAAGAACAAAGATCCTCCAGCAAATCTATATATAAGGTGAATATAAGGATTTCCAAGAATAGGGATGTAGAAAACTTTTGATTACAGAGAATCTCGTGTGGATGGCCAGCAAAAAATTTTTGTCTTTCACATGTAGGAGAGGAAGCCATGAGGCTTTCTGAGCAAGTATAAGGAAGAAGGCCTTGGGTATAGTGACAAGTCTGCCACTTGCTGTACCTATTGTTTCTTCATTTACAAAATCAGAAGGGTAAGGTGTTCTATAGGTTCTTTTCAACAGAACACTTCTGCAATGTTGGGAAATGACAGAAGTCTACAGGAAATGATGGTGGTAGGGGTATGAATTAGGAAGCTCCTCAGAGTCCTAGGGAATGAGATAAGGACAGAAGTGAGACCTCAGAGACAGGAAGGATATAGGCCCCTAGTGTTTGGGCAGATTG